TTATCTAGCAGAAGTAATTTCATCTGCTAATTGAAGTTTGATAAAAGTAATTATTACTGAATTAAGAGTAGTTAATTAGTATTTTTCTTTAATAAACACATATATTTTATCTTATATCTTATCTTACTTTCTTCTTGCTCTATTGAGAGAACATTTTGGTTAAAAGTAAAACTTGCATATATTATCTTATTAAGAAGATAATTATATTTTATTACAAGTAAAACATATATAAATTATCTTATTAAGAAAATAATTATATTTTATCAGAAGTAAATCTTATATATATCATCTTATTGAAAAAATAAATAGTTATATAATCTCTTGAAATTATAAAAGTAAATAACTGCTATAAACATAGTTACTATTACTATTTTAAAATAATTACATACACATAATTTTAAAATAGTAATAGTCTTTTTGATATCTCCTCTATAGAGGCAAAATCAGAAATAAAATTATTAATCACAAAAGTAATTCAAACTGGATCTAATAAAATTAATTAATTATGAAATAAAAAGATAGCTCTAAAGATTAATGATCTATCTCAATTATTCAGATAATAAGAAAAGAATTTATATTAATTAATCTATAATTTATTTATCACTGATATATCAAGAACAGAAGTCTTAACAAGCAAATATCAGTTACAACTTTGGTTTTAGAAATATTCAACTTGTATCATAACTGAAATAGCTAGTATCATTCATAATTTACATGAGAAAATTATTGTATTCAATCAACAGAAAACATATTATACTCAGAGATCAAGATCTAGTACTTCAGTTAACACTTCAGTTAGAATTTCTACACCAGTTCCATCATCATTCACTTCAGTCTCAACTTCTAATATATTCTTCACTAATCTTTTACATAGAAAAAGAACTCCAGTTCAGTTAAGAAATATAACAGAAGAAGAATCTTCAGAAGAAGAAGAAGTTTATCTTCCTATCCTTTTAGATTCACCTTTATTATAATCTCAAAGAAATCAAGAAGAAGAAATAGCAAATCAAGCTGTACAAACTCTAGCCCAAGCATTTTTATTACTTGTTTAAGTAATGCAGAATTAACAAAATAGACAAGTTGAGCTAATAATAGTATCACTTTCTTTTTATAGTGGTAAAATATATAAAGATCTTATAAATTAGATTGAGAAATTTACCCATGCAGCAAATGCAAATAACATAATAAATTCAAGAAAAGTATAAATAGTACCTGTCTATTTGAGAGGAATTACTTCAACTTGATATTAGTAAAGTAAACTCATAAATAATGATTAGCCTACCAGCTGGAATGATAATAATAATAATAATTCATTTTATCAAATCTTTATTGCATAATTTAGGACTAATGCTTAAGTCTTGGTATAGTAATAATAATTAAGATTGAGAATGCAAGGGACAAATAAAAATATAACTTCTTATACTAAAAATATTTGCATACTATTCCAGAAGATTGATCTAACAAGTGCATATTCTACCACTTATTATATTAAGTAATTTGTAAAAGACTTAAAGCCAGAAATTGTCTTTTATATGAATAAATCTAATCTAAATACTCTAGATGCAATGATTACAGAAGTAATTAATACTAAATCTAATTATAAATAGATCTACTAGAATCTACTTAATTTCATTTTGCTCATATTACAAAATTTTAATACTTTCTTTTCCATTTCAAGTCTAACAAATGATATGAGTAGAGCTATAGCTAACCTTACAGAACAAGTAAAAAAATTATCAACTCAGAATAGTCAAAATTCTAATAATTATCCTAACTAAAATAAGATTTACTATAATTATGATAAAAATAATCACATAGTTTGAGATTACAAATTATCAAAAAAAAGTATAAATAGTAATAGTAATAATAATATCTCAAATATTAAGTATTTTAAATATAATAAAATAGGATATTACGCTAATAGCTATACAAAAAAAAATATAAATACTAAATAGTCAGCCAATCTTGAAGTTAATATCATCCTAGTTCCAGATAATAATCTTTTATTATAACAATTACAATAACTCCTAGATGGATAGTCTATTATATTCTCATTACTAATACTATTACTACTAATAATAGTAATACTTCACATTTAAACTAGAGTTCATACCTAAAGAAGATTAGAGTATGAGTCAATCTCAAAAATCTTTAACAACATTTTTACAATAATTATTGACTGAAATTATAGAAGAAAATAAAAATCTAGAAAAAAAAATAGAAAAGTAATAGATACAATCTACTGTGAAGAAAAAGTAGAAGATTAACTTATCAGAATAATAGTTAATAGTGGATCAGTTAGTAATATCATGTCAATCAGATTTTTGAAATAAATAAGAAGAAAGATTGATAAGCCTTTCAACATCAGTCTTATAGATATAAATAGAAAGCCTGAATAACTACTAGGAGAAGTAGAAGAGTTAAAAATAAAGATTAGAGATCTGAATCAACAAATTAATACCCTAGTCATAGAGAAAGCAGAGTATGACTTATTACTTGACAACCAATGGGCAAAGCAGTCCAAAGCTATTTTGAATTGGGATGAAGAACTTTTAAGTTTTGAAGTTGAAGAAGAGTCCATAATCACCTCAGTCACCTGTACTCAACAGAGATCAATCATGAAACTGATCAGTCTCAAGAGAGAACTCAAGAGTCCTGTTCTTGAGAATGAAATTATTCTAATTGCAAAGCTATTGCAAAATTTTTTTCTAATTAAAAATGAAATTTAATTAGCAATTAGAATAACTCTTTCAGAAAAATCTGAAAAAAATATATGTAATATATGTTAAATTATAGGTCATGAAATTTAATTTGATATAAAAATAAAAATATTTATTAATAAATTATAAAGTATAATATAAAGAAAAAATTTCAATTTTACTAATAAATTTGGCTCCTGATGCATTATCTTTGTATATAATATTTATTTTTATTGTAATTTAATTTGAAGATTTTCTAATATAAAATATAATATTTTAATAATTTGGATAAAAACATTATTATCGTGTTTCAGCCTGAATTAAGTTTAATGCGGGCTGTGATTCGAAATAACGCGCATGGCCGTTTATTTCGCAAAAATAGGATAGATATTATATTTCATTTTGATAAAAATAAATTGATTTTAAAATATTTGGAAAAAATTATTATTTTTATTGGTTTAATATGGAAGTAATTTTAATCACTCAATTTGCTTTTGTGATATTAATCAAATATTAACGTTAAAAATTGCATCATCTTGCATTAATTAAATTTTAGCTTTGTATCACCTAAAAAATTTTTTTACAATCCGAAAAGCGCTCTTCACTTTTCTCAAAAGGTAGGAATCTATCGAATTATATTACGCGTAAGTTTGACGAAATTTTTAGCTTTGATACTGGTATACAAGAATATCATGAGTACTTTAAAGCAAGCTTCCGAAAAAGCTTACAAAAATCTTTGGCGAACTTAATGCTTTTTGACTTGATTAAAAGTTCTTTTGAAATTTGTTTATCAATTTTCTATGTATATTTACGGAAGTTTGTTAATATAACCTTGTATTTTAAATAATTAACATTTTTAATAGTAAAATGTCAGCCCAAACCATTCCTGTCACTTTTAGCGATATTGGCAAGTCAGCCAATGATCTTTTGAGCAAAGACTTTCCCGTAGGGCTTAAACTTGAGGCTAAAACAAACACTAATACTGGAGTGGTATGTACTAATTAGGAACACTTGAAGTCGATATAATGAACAATTAATTAATTTTGACTCTCTAAAATTTTAGACATTTACTGTTAATGGACATAGAGATGCAAAGACTGGCAATATTCATGGTGATCTCAAAACCAAATATACTTATCCAAAGAATGGCGTAACTTTTACTGGGTCCTGGACGACTAGTAATCACCTGAATGGACAGCTTGAACTTGAAAATAATGTCGCTAAAGGATTAAAATTAGATATTGTCACTCAATTGCAACCGGCAATCGGTCAAAGAAACGCTAAGGCAGGCGTGATCTTTAAACAGCCAGGATTTCATTCGAAATTTTATATCGATCTATTTAAAGGACCAATATTCTATGGTGATGCTGTGATTGGACATGAAGGATTTGTACTTGGTGGTGAAGGATCTTATGATGTCCTGGATGGAAAACTAACTCGTTTTGGCGTAGCGGCAGGCTATAATGCTCCTGAATATAGCATTGCCTTACGTACTTCAAACTCATTGAATAGTTATACAGCCGCCGCTTATCATCGTGTTCAACCTGACATTGAAGTTGGCGCGAAGATCCATTGGGACGCTGCTACTAATAATAACAGCAATAATAATGTGACTCTTGAGACTGGTGTTAAATATTCATTGGATCGTGATACTTTTATTAAGGTAATTTATTATTTAGCTTATCGTTATTGTGGTTATTTTTATTATATGATTTATATAATTATGCTTAATATAATTAATAAAAATTATAGTCAAGGATTGATAATTTTGGACGTCTTGGATTATCCTACACTCAAAATCTCAGACCTGGTGTCAAGATTTCTATGGGTGGAATTGTTGAAACGTCTCGTCTTAATGAAAATGTTCATCGCTTTGGAATCTCTCTTAATCTGGAATCTTAGTTTCTGTTCTTCATATCGATATTAAACATTATCATAACATAACTACTATTGTTTACTAATATTAATAATAATCATCACAATAGATTTCTTTTCTATGCTTATGACATTTCCATAAATAATCAATCGCTCAATAAACAAAATAATGAGTTAATGAACAAATAAACAAAAATGTGTAAGTTTAATCCGCGTGAAAATTATTCATTTTATATAACATTGTTTATTTGTCTTTTGTTAAACTAACTTCGTAATATTGCAAGAGGTTTAGACAATTATTGGATCGCCGATTAATTTCGTCTCCCACGTTTTCGTTTCCGATTATTTGATTTTCTCGATGAATTTGAACTGCTATTATCACTATCACTATCACTAAACGATGAAGCAGTTGATGATCGAGAACTATCCGAAGAAGAGGATTCACTTTCTGAGTCACTTTCGCTAGAGTGCGAGTCAGAAACTTCTGAAGATGATGAAATATCGCTAAAATTTATGTAGAAAAATTATATTATTCAGATAAATTCAATTACAAATACAATAAATAATTAAGATTACTTACTGAGATTTTCTTCGCTTCTTCTTTCTTTCTTCTTCTTTCTCTTTTAATATTTTATCTGCTATACCTTTTCTAAAGTAAATTATACTAATATAAATATAATTTATTACAAATTTACAGGTTATTTGTTTGATAGGTTACTTTGATTTTAAAAAGTCCGGCAATTTAGTAACTACAGGTTTCAATGGTTTAGTAAGCTGTTGAGTTCGCGTAGGTCGAGACTTGTATGTTCGATTATTTTTACATTCATATGTCTAACGAATAGAACAAAATTTTTATTAATACCCTAAATAATAATCAAATTATTGTAAACATATACCCAATGTCCGAATTCAAGACATTTCTGGCATTGTGTTTTAGGAGAAGCTTTAGTAGTTGAGGTTGGATACCTATATTGATTTTAAATATATTATCAAAAAAAGGAACCATTTTCGTATAATTCATTCTATCAAAGAAAAGTCAACCTTCTTCCAGGAAAACCGCCTCGATTCATTATCGAATACAAACCGTCCTAAATTTAAAAATTTTAATTTAACATAAAATCAAATCTTTAATCACATGAGTAAAAAATTTCAGTCAATGAGATTTTTTTATTATATAACTTTTAATATGTTCGTATGTAAACCTGTTCGTTGAAAATAATATTATATTTAATAGTTCTACTCTTGAGAAAAGGTGATGAAGATGGAATATCTAAAGTTGATTAATATATTGATGAAATATTAAAAAGATTTTATTCCATCTTTGCTCTTGTACGAATCCATTTCTTTATCTGTTAAGACAATTAAAAATATCATAAATCTTCATCAGCACCAGATTATGAAGTATATAATGAATAATATGAACTGCATTTTCCTTATCATTAAAATGTTTCAATACTTGCAAATAAGATTTATATCCTAATTTTTTGAATGATTTTTGAGTAGGCCGGGATTGATTATGATTTGACAAAGATTTAGTAGCTTATTCTATTATATCAGCTATAGATCTGGATTTTCAGAATAATAACAAATATATCTCTCATTTAATTTATATTCTAACTTCTCTTAATTATCTTTATAAATATAATGAGTGTCAGAAATATTTGAAAGAATATCTTTTATCCAGTTCTTATATATATCTAACTGAAGATGAGTATAAATTATCACATAATTATTTGGATTGATTTCTTATCATCTGAATTTATTTCTTTTAATTCCAGTTCAGATCCAGTTAAAAATAATTGATTAGTATTTTTAATAATTTTACTAGTCAAATTAATAAATAGATAATTGATAAATATAGTTTGTTTTTAATTATTAAATATATTTAACTTGGTAAACATGATAAATATTAAATGAATTATTTTATATTTGAAAAGTAAGTTTATAAAATTTAGATAATATTATTTATTTTATATATTCTTTTATATATTCAAAAAGATATAATATTAGATATTTTTTATATAGATTATATATTAATTATCTATTATTTTATATCTTTAAAAAAGTATTTAGCATAATTTTTTTGATTAATTATTATGTATTTTGTAATTATATAAATTTTTAAATATTAATAATAAGTTTAAGAATAATTATTAAAAGTTATTATAATATTTAATATATAATAGCTAATTACTAAATATAATAAATTTTTTACTAATAAAGATTAATAAATAAATTATCTATTTAATCAGAAATTAAACTAAAAAAATTATAAAGAATTAAATATTGTTGTGATATGAACTTTTAGTAGAATATTAGTTAATTTTATTATTGATCACTTCATATCACAATTTGATTGAATGAATAATTCTTTATATCTTATTAGACATTAACTTTAGAGAATATTATTTGTAGATATTTTTAGAAGGTTTTGCAAATATGATGATCATTGCAAAATTATCATAGCAAAGTTAACAAAACTATCATAGCAAAAGTAATAATACTATCATAACAAAACCAATATTATGATACTAGCTAAAATAACATTTAAATTATAGCAAAACTAGTATAAGTATCATAA